ATATCATGCAAGTCAAACGAATACCATGCAAGAAAAAAAATAATGACCAACCTGCTTTTCTTCATCATCTTTTTCCACATGCACACGATCTTCTTCCTCGCCTTCGTATTCCGCAGCATCGTCTCTAAAATCAGATGGTTGATGAGCATTTAGGATAACTCTTGCATGTATCAAAGAATTCTCAAAATCTCTAGAATCCAATGAACATTGTGAAGAGGTCAACTTGGAAACCATCCCGAAAGATTCGCAGGCCGTGTGTAACATCACGCCCCTCCTTTTGATTCTCCTTCCCCACACGATGAAATTTTTCAGACCGCCGCTGTTAGATAAATCGTGTCCAGTTGGAAATAAAGCATAAAGGTCGCCAACTCACAGATGTCTGTCATGCAGTCTTTGTTCAGCTGCATCAGCTTCTCTCCCACCTGCTGCTTCTTCATCAGACGAGTTTCCATCGTCCATGTTATGTGCTCGCCTATAACAATGAACTCAGTATTGTTTCAAAATTTGCAAACTCCGAACCATACCTTGGCACCGGACCATCTCCCCGTCCCAGGCCAGCATTCAGGTTTCCAGCTCGTAGCTTTCTATGCTGAACTTGCTGATACTCGAGAAGATCACGGTATTTCTTCCCTATCGATGTTGCCAACGCTCGCAAAAATCGTTTCTCCAGCTGAAAGACTGGAACATTTTTTGAAAAAGGAAGAAATATGCAAACCTCTTGTAGTATGACTCTGCGCTTCAGATGCTTAGCGTTTTGTTCCCTTTTTGAGCTGGATAGAATCTCTATGCGGAGATGGTAACGTCGCCAGCAATCACTGGAAAATTCAGTTTGTGAGCGAACCAGGGAAATATTGAGAGTAATTCAAAAAATTTCTGCCAACAACTTTTTATACAAAACCCGTACCTATTCGTAAGATTGATCCTCTCTTCCAAAGTAAAATTGCGCAACACTTGTTTAAGAAACACACGATCCAGTTCGCGTCGTATCGCATCTATCTTTTCTTGTGGAGTGCCGGGCAGTATCGGGATCTGTAAAGATCGGAACTCAATGTCTGCGCTATCCGTAAGGCGATTCTTGCAAAATCTTGCAATCTTTGCAAATGCGGAAGTTGGAAAGATAGACTGCGCACGCATCTTTTATACTGACTGCATGCTTTCCCTATTTTTACCCTAGCCCCCACGTAAAGACATGCGCCTCTCACAAATTCATTTTACCCTCAACTTTCTAACACAAGAAATTCAAATTTCATAAAAAAATCAATTCAAGAAAGCGTTAACATCACCCACCTTAGCGCTAGGCGTAGCGATATGTTCCGATGAGGTCATCAGAATCTCGCGAAGTCTCGGGATACCCAAAGTGACGTTCATTTCACCTCTACCAGCAAAGTGGAAGGTGTTCAATGTCATCTGCGTGGATGGTTCGCCAATGGACTGCGCAGCCAGTAGGCCTACATTCTCGCCAGGCTCAGCTAATGATCGCATGCCTAGAAAACAAATGCAGGATCTCACGGCATATAGTTTGAGTGAGGAAAAAGCAACAAACCTTTCCAGAACAGGGATCGTCGAAGTTTCTCGTTCTTACCAGAAAATTTATAGATAGCATCCAATGTCTTCTCTGGCAAAGCGCCAAGCGTTGTATATGGGTTAAATTCCTATAAAAAGATAGACAACCATGGCGGACAAGTAAAAAAGAACAAGAATTTGAAATGTTGCATGGTCAGGGAAACTGTCATGAACGCAAAAAACAAAGCTATGAAAACTGTAATACAAGAAGTTTAACAAGTGCAGAACAGATGCTAACTTACCAACAATGTGTAGGAAAAACCAAAAAAGAAGAAAAAAGAATGTACTAACCTCATCCACTGAATGCGGGCATCTCCTTGGTGCTCGCTTTTCGTAGACTAATCGTTCTGCAGCATCCATTTCTCCCCACATTCCAACCACGCGTTCTTTTTCAACACCAAGCTGATCCATGGAAAATTCTGTGAAGCCAGAAATGTACTGCTTTTTGGGGTGATCTGTGCCAGCCTTTTTTCGCCACTTTCTGATCTGCAACAATGATTGAGGATAAGCGCGAAAAGAATACATCATAACAACTGCCACCTTCTTGTATTGCTTTTCTGCGGCTTCGACGTTGAACTCTGAATCACGGACAGCATCGGGTTTCGAGCAGTGTATAACGGCGTCGAGATTGTCTTGCAGGAATGGGAATGTCTTCGGGCTAATGTAGGATGCTTTGATAACGTCAAGACCGTCTTCGCCATAATGAAACTAGAAAGAAATAGAAAGAATCCGATTTTGCACAAATATGATAAGACGCAAAAATTATGACCTCGTCCGAAAATTATCCCAAGAAAATTACCTGCACAACTGAACCATCATGATCTCTTACTGTTCCATCATA